AAAGTAGTACCATCGCCAACATGCCAAGCCAGTCTATGGGTCAACTTATCCCAAAGACCACTCAGTTTTCTTCAAAGGTGGGAGCTCATACTCAAACTAGTGGGAGACTTGTACGAGTAGTCCCATTTATATTGATGATGTAAGTTTTTTAAGCTTGGTCAGGATAGCAAAACCCACCTTCAGGAAGAAAGCCTTATTAAGTGTTTTGAGACTGAGGAGGCCACGTCCCCTATGGGTGATGGGGTGACACATCTCCTTCTAACTAACCAAGCTGGGCTTCTTCACTTCGCTAGACGAGGCCTAAATAAAATCACGCACTAGGCGATCAATTTTATCATAGAGAAAGTATAGAAGGGCAGCGGTTTGCATAACGTATATAGGGATAGCCATGATAACAGACTTGGCCAGTGTAAAACAACCGGCCATGGAGAGGTAATTAGCTTTCTAACATGAGAGCTTCGCCCGAACCTTCCCAATGATATACCTATAAGTGTCCGCGGTGACTCTACCATGGAGCAGGGAAACCTCAAGATACATACCCACATCTGTCAAGACCTGAAAACCAAAATCAGTGTTGATTCTAGTAGCTTTGTTAAGCGCAACATTGTGGAAGAAAAAAATACGAGTCTTGGACATGTTGAACTTGTGCCCGGACCTCTCGTTAAAATCTGCAAGTATAGTCTTGATGAGTTGAACCTGCCTATCAGAGGTACGACTAAAAAGGATTAAGTCATCAGCGAAGAAAATATGTGAAAGTTTAGGGCCCCTCTTACTCAGAAAAACTGGAAGCCACGCCTCACGATTAACCAAATGATCAATGTATTATGAGAGGTGTTCTATACATAACACGAAAATATAATGGAACAAAAGGTCCCCCTGTCAAATGCCTCGTGAAGGCACAAACTCTTCAGTGGACTCCCCATTTCACAACAACTGCATGGAATCAGAACAAACGCAATGCATAATAACTCTAACGAGAGGCTATGGGAAGCCAAAGTCCCAAAGGGTATCCTCAATAAAATC